ATATATCCCTTTGTTCCTGGGTAGGAAGAGCCAATATAGTGAAGATGGCCATACTCCCAAAACTACTATATAGATTCAATGCAATCCCAGTTGAAATTCCAACAGTATGCTTCATGGAATGAGAGAAAACGATCCAAAAATTCATTTGGAACCAGAAGAGACCTAGAATAGCCAAAGCAATTCTAGGCAACAAAGACAAGATAGGGGGTATTACAATCTCACAATTGAAACTACAAGGCTACTGTGGTAAAAACATGGTGCTGGCAAAGAAACAGACCTCAGGATCAAAAGAGCAGACTAAAAGATGCAAACAACTCTAGACCTCCTCAGCCACCTCATCTTTGACAAAGGAGCCAAACACCCTTGCTGGGGAAAGATCACCTCTTTAATAAATGGGGCTGGAAAAATTCGGTTTCAACTTGCCAAAGATTAAAACTAGACCTACATCTCTCACCATGCACTAAACTAAAATCAAAGTGCACCAAAGATCAAAATGTTAAAACAGAAGCACTAAACTGGCTAGAAGAGAGGTGAGGTACAACTCTCGAGGAATTGGCACAGGAAAAGATTTCATGAACAAAACCTCGGTCACACCAGAACTAGCACAGAATTAACAATTTGGATCTCATCTTATTAAAAAGCTTCTGCACAGCAAAATAAAATACCACGAGAGTGAAGAGACAATCCACAATCTGGCAACAAAAACAAACAAACAAACAAACAAAAAACAGCTGTTCCTCAAAGGTCTTCTATCTAGAATTTACAAAGAACTTAAAAAATTCAGACTTCCCAAAAATGAAAGACCCAATCCAAAAATGGGTATCTGAAATGAACAGACATTTCTCAGAAAAAGAATAGAAATAGCAAATAAACATGAAAGAATGTTCAACATCACTGGTCATTCGAAATAGTGATTCGTCACTTCAGAAAGAATGGCTGCTATCAAGAAATCTACCAATAACAAGTGCTGGCAGGGTAGTGAGGAGATAGGAACCCTTCTTTATTATTGGTGGGATTGTAGGCTGGTGTGGAAAAACCTCAAAAAACTAGGATGAGAGGCCCCATTTGACCCAGCTATTCCCCTGCTGGGTATCTTCCCCAGAGAATTACAAGAATTATACCACAGTGGTATATGTGCACCCATGTTTATAATGGAACAGTTTGTAATGGCTAAGGCTTGGAAGCAGCCCAATTGCACATCAACTGAAGCCTGGATAAAGAAAATGTGATTTTTTATAGAATGGAATACTACTCAGCCCTAAAGAATGAGAAACTAGAGACATTTACAGCTAAATGGATGCACAGTGAGGCTAGACTCTTCAGTGAAATAAATAGGACAGACATGTATAAATACTGAATAGTTTCTCTGGTGTGAGAAACTACAAGTGTAAATAAGGATCAAACTGTACAGTGGATAATATGAGATCAGAAGATAAGGCCCAGAGGAGAGGGCAAGTGAGAGGGTACGAACAGGAAGAAGGGAAAGGAATAAGTATGAGAAAAGGAAAAAAAAAAACTGAAACAAAGTCTTTGTAAATTAGGAGGGGTGGAGGGAGTGAAGAGAGGGCAGGGGAATGGGGACAAAATAAGAACCAAGATATACCATGTAATGGTAGAAATTCCTAATAACGAATGTAACTGTATTGCATACCTCAAATGTACCAATTAAATTAATTAACTAAAAGAGAAATAAAAAAGAAAGAAAGGACTTTCAGACCTGCTTCAGGAAGTAGCAAGAATGGTGCCATAAATGAATTCAGA